TCCAGCTGTTGGTGAAACCACTTACGTTTGCAAGAGGAATTGTAGACTTCACAAACAAATTTGTCTTTCAGTCTGTACCGAATGTTGGCCAAGAGAAGCATCAATGTTAGTACGAAGAACAGATGTTTTTCTAGATCTTTGCTTTTGGAGCTACATATTTGTATATGATCTGTGAATCATTGAGATGCATTAACATGTTGATCTTATGAATGGGAATCGTACTAGTTAGTTTTAGTTGCGACGCAAGATCCGAAGTGGCTGATCTTTGCTTTTGGAGCTACATATTTGTATATGATTTGTGAATCATTGAGATGCATTAGCAGTTACTTATTTCTGTTCGCTCAGTGTTTACAAGTTACTGATCGATCACTAGCTAGCCTACTAATGCGCTCCTGGCAGTTTTATTTGTGACGCAAGATCCGAAGTGGCAGTTTTTTGAATAAAAATGCCTACCTATGAAGAAACTGACAAGCTACACTATCCTACCTACTCGATCCTACACGGACAAATAGCGGATCATGCACGTACTACCTCCTTTCCAGTTTGCAGGGCTCAATTCAAGAAACGACCTACTCGATCCTACATGAATAAATAGCGGATCACGCACGTACTAGTACCTCCTTTCCGGTTTGCAGGGCTTAATTCAAACCTCTCACCAACCAAAGTACTCCCTCCGTCCGAGTTTATCAGTCCCGTGAGCAAAGAAGCAAGACCAAGGCATGACAATAATTAACGGCATGCAAAAGTTTAAGCCTAATTAATTCCAGCGATTTAAGTGGCTGCATGCGTGCCCTCGGCTGCGACTCATTGCATGCTGCTCCGCGTACTGGCTGCGAGTGATTCTGAGTGCATGCATGCAGCCGGCCGTAATTAAGGCAGCTAACTGATGCGAAAAAAGATGCGCTTTAATTGTTGCGGGCTTTTTAAATTCGTGGAATCATTATTGACAAGGAGGGAGATGATTCGAGTGCACTCGTTTGACCGCCATGCCGGCGTGCGACCCAGATGGGACGGGATAACACAGTCATAATTTCAGTTTTTCTAGTTTTCCACGGCAAGCTGGCGCACTAAGCCATGCCTGCTTATGCATTGAATTCCGATGACCGTCGCGCTACCTTCCGCCTATAAGTACTGTTTCCCGGCCTTCTCCTGTGGCACCGTGACCCAACTCGCCATATCCTCATAAGCCCCCACTGGCCCGACGTTGCTCGCCACATCCGCCATGCCCCCGCCCATCCGCGGTAGGCGACGCTGGAGGCGGTCACCGCCGAAACTAGTGTTCGGTTTTTCACCGGAAGGCAGACGGAGGGAGGAGGCATTCTATCTGTCTTTAGATGGCAATGCGTAGATCGAGGACTTGTTGGAGCACGACCGCCTGGCGGAGGAGTAGGAGTTGTTGGAGCGCGGCCGCCTGGCGACGGAGCAGCGTATCGCTGATTTGCGCCGCCAGCGGGGCATGGAGCAGCAGCGCACCGACGCTCTGAGTCGTGAGTAGAGTGCCCGCAACTGGGCCGACTACGTGGAGGCTGGCACCCGGCAAATAGCCCTGGAGGCTATCGGGCACGCATGCATTCGCGACACCGATTTTTACTACCAACTCGTCAAGTGGGTTTCCCACTTGGAAGCCGAAGCTTCAGTGGACCACGCCGGCATGGAAAGGGCCAACGCGCGCGAGCAACATGTCCTATCGCACCTCTGGCAAGTCCGAGGCGAGGCGCAGGACGCCGGTGCCGGCGTTTAGCGTGTACCGCAGATGGCGGCCGGCATCGTCTAGTTAGCTAAGAGTAAGTTAGTACTTGTATGCTACTAGAGTATTAGTGGGGTAGATAGTTAACTTGGCTATGATGGTTGTCAATGTGGAAGTTCAGTACTCTATATGTGGATCAGACATGTTACTTTGCTCTGAATGTTGAACTTTCTGTTTGAACATATGGAATGAGCTGTTTTTTTAAATGGGTTGTATTTGTCCTCCATGAGTTTAGAGGCTGACTTGTGGGCCTACCAAGTTGATGCGTACACAATCAGAAGATGATTGTACGTGGAGAGGATGACAGCAGGGACCTGCCAAGGTCATGGCAGTACGCAAGCAAGTGCCTCCTTATTTCAAGCCAATAAAAAAATGGCTCCTCCTAGTGGATTTCTGACATCTGGGTCCCATGCCATTGTCAACATAGTCAATAAACGAGAGAATTGCACAACGAGCGGCTAACACTAGGAACCCAGCAGCTCGCCCAGTTGTTTTTGTTTTGGGTTAATTTGATAAATGCCACTCCAAATTTGGTGTTTCCGAGAAATGCCACTGTAATTTCCAAACTTTGAAAAATGCCATTTCATGCCATTTCCAGTGGCGTTTTTCGAAGTCTGGAGTGGCGTTTTTCAAAGTTTGCAAACTGCAGTGGCGTTTTTCAAAGTTTGGAAATTGCAATGGCATTTTTATGAATCTCCATAATTGGAGTGGCATTTATCTAATTTGTTTTTGAGAAGGAAGCAGGGTGTCAACTGGGCTGTGAGGGACACTCTGGTCTGTCTAGACAACATTTTCTTTTATGTTTACCACAGACCAGCCCAGTAGTTTTTTTCTTTCTGAAAATGGCTAGTCCAGTTTTTTGTGATTTGTCAAGTAAGTCTCTTTATCAGGCCTGTTGGGCTGCAAATATTTCAAGACGAGGAGAGCTTCATTCGGCTGGCCGAGGAAATGGCCTATCAGTAATGAGAAATGGGTTGTACATTTTTAAAACACATCAAAACGGTAATTAGTTTCAAATATATTTTTTTCATTTCGAGATTTTAAATTGCATTGATTTTTATGCGTGGACAATTTATTGGATTTTATATTGATATACATTTATTTTTAAAATCAGTCTGAATGTGACTCGAAATTTCGGGATTAAAAACAGTTCAGACCGCACCGACATATGCAAAATTTTGTATAATTTTTTAACCATGGCCACAATATGGGTTGTAATGCTAAAAAAAAAGAATATGGGCTCCAAAAAACCCGTAAGAATTAGCAAATGGGCTGTAAATTATTAGAAATAATGGTAGATGGCATGTATGCTGTTTTCCACAGATTCAAGGTTTTCCTAAAAAAAGGTTGACGCACAAGCAGTGACTGTTGGATGTCCATCCAATGGCCGTCGTGCTTCTTCAATCTCTGCTCTTCCTGCTCTAGCCGCTCAAACAAGCGCCGGCAGGACTGCCTGCTCCCTCCTCCCTGCGGTCGGCTGTGCTGCCGCGCAGGCCTCACCGCCCCATCATACTCCCATCGCTGGCCTAGCCATCCCTTTACTCACTCACACCTGCTGTTATTCTCCGGCAACGGTAGACGAACCAGTAAACCCTCGTACAGTCGTACTCCCCTCCGCGTGGGAAACAACTGTCGAGTCTTCCCTGGCTCCGTGTCATTCCCTTCCTAGGCCTCGCCGTCGTCCACCGCCCTGGTGCTCTCGGCGTGGCATGGTCCACATGGTCAATGACCGACGCATCTAAAGTGGACTACACGTGGAGAGGCTGACAGCTGGGTCCACGGCCGCACGCAAGGAAATGCCTCCTTATTACGCGCAAAATCATGATTCCTCCACCTGACATCTGGGACCCACCGAAAGGGCCTCTGTATTTCGCGAAAAAAATGTTACCGCCGCTAACAGCTCGGACCCACCAGCTATATCTTCCCACGCAAGGAAGTGCCTCCTTATTGCGCACAAAAAAATGAATACTACCCCTACTAGCTGGGACCCAGTATAGTGGGCCTACTAATTTGACGGGGACGGAAGGCTTTGTCAACTTAGTCAATATGCACGATTCTAGCTCGAGTGACCGCACGATGTCCATCCAACGGCCGTAGTGCTTCTTCAACCTCTGGTCTTCTTGCTCCAGCCGCCGGTCGTGCCGCCTGCTCCTCCCTCCCGTGGCCGGCTGTGCTACCGCGGAGGCCTCACCGCCCCCATACTACTCCCACCGCTGGCTAGGCCATCCCTCCACTCCACTCACCCACACCCCCTGTTATTCTGCGGCGATGGCAGCGCAGCCGAACCAGTGAACCCTCGTACTCCTCTCCGCGTGGGCATCCACTGCCGCGTCTTCCCCGGCTCCGTGTCGTCCCCTTCCTAGGCCTCTCCATTAACCAAACTCGCATGTGGTAAAACTTCAATCATGGAGAAGATCCATTGTTTTGCACTCGGTTCGGTTGTTGCATACATGTGCTCAACGAGTTCTTCATCAGCTAATGCCCAGACACACCTCGACATGGAACATTGGAGTAAATAGTGTCTCCACGAGTCCTTCACACCACACAACTGACAGCGATCGAAATCAGACATCTTTCTCTTGTGGCGGACATCTTCAAAGGGTATTGAGTGATGCGCTAGCCTCCACAGAAAATTGCGAACCTTTCTTGGAAGGTCAACTTTCTACAAAGAACTCCATGACTTCTCCTCTACAGTATGATCTGAAGGACCTGGTGCACCTTCCAACCAATTCTCTCTTCTGACCACAGAGAAACTCCCGTATCCCTTAATTTCGCCGCTCCCCTCCGCGGGCCGTGCTCTGTGCGGCGGCTCGTTTATGGTGGGCCGGGCCATGCCGGCCCATGGTATGCCTCATGACCCAGCGGATACGCGCAGGCGTGGTTCGTTCTGCCACCGGAAGGAATGGACCGTCCGTCAGCCGGCAGCTTGGCGCCTCGGGGCACGAGAAGACCGGCGGCCGAAGCAAAGCATCCCCCGTCCGTCCCCTTCCCCACGCGCGCACAGCGTGCTAGCCAGGAGCAAGCACGGCACTAGCCACTAGCTAGAGCGCACGAGCGCGGGGATGGAATCCAGCCGGTGGCCGCGGTCGGCAAGGCAGCGCAGCGACAGGCCGATTCCTTCCTTGCCGCTCCCGCCGCCGCTCGCCTTGCCCCCACCCCCCTTTAACCGCACGCCACCTTACCCGAACCCAGCCATGGTTGCCAAGCCGCCTCCGCAGCAGCAGCAGCAGAAGAAGAAGATCGAGGCGGAGGCATGGACGACGCGTCCCTCGAGCACACGCCCACCTGGGTCGTGGCCGCCGTCTGCTTCGTCATCGTCTCCGTCTCCCTCGCCGCCGAGCGCTTCCTCCACTACCTCGGCAAGGCACGCTTCCCCCTCCGACACTTAATATTTTTTTTACATTCCGCGGACAAGTCAGTACTATATGCTCTTGCGCTCGTTGGTTGCTTGATTCGACCGTGGAATCAGGGAAAATGTAGTACAGTACCATACCTGGCAATTCCGGGTGAACTCTGAACTGTGGGGGGTTTGGGTGAAGAAGTTTTGGTCTCCGTGGCAAAACGAAATTGCTGGGGTTAGGGCCCCTATTCCTTTCTGGCATTCGATTTGCGAGCTCGGGTGAATTTTTTGGCGCAATTTACTCTCCCCTAATCCTCTCTATGCTGCAACTTTTGGCACTGTACTTAGAATGACCAGTTACATGTCTATGAGCAAAATGTACTCCGTTATTAGCTTCACATATTCATGTTCCACAATTCTACGAGAAACACTCCTTCGCTAGCATCATCAAACAAGTGCAGTTCCCCGCTAGGTAGTTTGCTGGTGTAATACTTTCCATGGTCCGTGACATTTCTCTTTTTGCAGAACAGTTTCATTGTCAGCTATCCCTGAGTGTTGACTGGCTCAAATTAGCTTCACCAACTTTCTTCCTGGTTGTCTTCCTGTCGGTTATATCATCTGGGATAGTGCTGAAATCATGTTATTGCTCTTTTCTGTTACTTGATTGCTCAGTCTTCTTTGCATTTAGGACTTCTAAGGGTGCTACCATCTCGTATTATTTTATTGAAACCATAATAATGATAAACTTTCATCTTGCACATTCCAAAAAGCAGGCAATCCATGTTAAGGTCTTGACACAGGATTTAATACTCAACAACATTTTTTTTCCTTTAACTTGCTTTTGAAGTCAGTAGTCAACAATGCTAAGAAGAGATGCCAATGATTACCCCATCCTACTTATGCTTTCTTCTACAACCGTGCAGGCATTAAAGCATAAGCAGCAGAAAACATTGTATTCGGCCCTACAGAGACTAAAAGAAGGTAACATTCAGGAATATTGTTGTGTGAACTTATCAATTGGCATCTCAGCATGCCTTATTAATCGGACCATTCAGATTCATTTGTTATTAGTAACTGTATGCTAAATACATGCTATATCTATTATAAAACTTAAATAGTTTATTGTAATATGTTTTTTCGGCAAATATGTACATGGTTGAAGAGCTTTGACTTCAGAAAATGGTACATAGGAAACACGACAAAGGGTTGGCAAATATTTTGCTCACTTACTATATGATATTGATTTCTTCTTCTTCTTGTTCCTCTGTGTCTTATCTGGTTCAATGACTACATATGCAGAGCTAATGCTTCTTGGATTCATTTCCTTCATCCTGAGTCTCTCACAGAGTTTTATTGTTCACATTTGCATTCCGGAAACCGCTACACGTTTCATGCTTCCATGCAAGAGAGAGAATCACAAAGTTATAGAAGAAGGTGGCATAGTTTGCAAGAAAAAGGTTAGGAAATACCATATTCGCAAAAATGTTGAGCCATCATTGTCCTGGAACTGAAACCTGATTGTATCTTCGAACTGGATGTCTTATTGTTGGGCACCTATTTTATGAGATACAGATCCTTCTATATTGGGTAGAAACGCCTCGTGTTATTTGTCTGTCACTGTGTCACAGGAAGCAATGTAAAGTGGCGTTCCTTAAAAGGGAAGCAGTTGAAGTGTATTATGCAGAAATGTATTCTAGAACGATCATTATAAAGATAGGCTTGCTCTGTTTCAGGGTGATGTCCCCTTTCTATCACTGGAGGCATTGCATCAGCTGCACATATTCATATTTGTACTTGGCTTGGTCCATGTGGTTTTCTGTGCTACAACAATATTGCTTGGTGGAGCGAAGGTACGTCTTCAAATAAAAAGTTAGGTATGACCATGTTTGTGCACGACAAACTTACTCCCGCTAAATTTTTCCAGATAAGAAGATGGAAGCATTGGGAGAATGGAATTCACCGAGATATACAACAGAAATGTGCGTTATTGCCCTATCTTTTTTGTTTACTGGATTGATTTTTGTAAGTACTTGATGTGGGCTTCCTAGGTGACATTATATAATGTAGTTATATATTGGGACATATAATCAAATATGAAGAAATATGACATACTAAAGAGAGAGTCGGTCATGATTCGTGATTGTTATCCATACTCACTGTTAATTTAAAAATGCAATTATATTCTTTATACACATGTTGCTTCATCACCAACCCCACCCCTAGCGTTCTCATGCTTCTACGCAGTTCTTCAAGTTGTTTGTACTGGTTCTTGCCTGTGATCTTTCTGAGCTTCAAGAAATGTTAAAATTAAATAAGCATTGGAAGGCTGGTATTTGCTACCCCCTCTATAAAGAAATATAAGAGCGTTTAGATCACTACTCTAGTGATCTAAACACTCTTATATTTCTTTACGGAGGGAGTGCATTATTTGCATCCGATCAAACACCTTTTCAAGTTTTCTTGAATTATTGTTCTGCAGATTCTGTTGTCTTTGTACTAGAAATTTTTGAATGGGTGTGTGCAGTTACAGTCAGAAGTTGTCCTGTCCAGAGTCTCCAGATACATAATTTCACAGTCCGACACAAATGAGTTTCACTTTTTTTAACAATACAAATAAGGACTTGCATGGATAAAAGAGTACACAATAGCTACTATATCACTCACAAATTACACACGATGCGTTTGTATTCCTCGTAAACACTTCAAGAAAACCCCTTGCTCATGCAAGAGTTGATTGTCGAATGTCGATACTTATTTTAAATCTTTGTTTTCACAAGGTTAAATAAAAAATGCAGAAAATATATGTAAACACTTGCCCTCTCTGCCGGTCAGAGCAATACCAAATTTACAGGTAAATTCCATAACTTATAATGTTGAATAGGAAGCCCATCAAAATTATTTAGATCCTTAAACATTCATAACATATTGGGGCCATATGCCCATATACCTACACATAATTTATCCCTGAAAAAAATCTCACATATTGGGGTTGCCCAGGCGTTCTGCGCATCCCTATGGCTCTACTAGATATGCCCCATGTGTCCACATTTTGACGATCGGTCAAATTCTGCAACAGTTATGCGATTTGTTGTCTGTTCTGTTGGTTTCGCACCACAACATGAGCAACAACTGACATGGCAGAATAAGTGAATACTTCGCAGTTGGATGGAAACCGAGTCTCCTAATTTGCACTGGCTCCTAATGGCGTCAATGCATTATAATTCTGCCTGTTCCATTGGCCCTTTCCCCCATCATTTATGCTGTAAAGGGTCCGTTTGTGTTTTTACTTAATAGGCGTTAAAGATTTCTGGCTCAATGTTTTGTTTTCTTTCTGGAGAAACAGATGCAGAACTACAAACAGATATTGTAGGAAACGTTACACCATTGCATGTTGTGCTACGCCATAATCACCAGGGTGAATTGGTCAGTGAGCGAACCGGGGGATTTTGGAAGCAGTTGGCTGTTGTGAGCTGGATAGTAAGTCGTCTGCCAATCCTGTTATATTGCTCAATTCAGTTATCTAGAATGGTCTATCTGCATCTTGATTGCGTGCATGCATTTATCCAAATTATTATCTATATGTAACATAAGGATTCACTATGGTAAACATGTTTATCACATTGCATGCAGTAGCCTCGACGAAATTGCATGCTTCACTGCTTCTCATTAGCATAACATGCAAAAGTAAATTTGACCAAGGTTTTTAAGGTGGTAAGGCTTCATAAGGCGATGTACCCCCACCTTACCGCCTAAGCGACACATAAGTGCCTAAGACCGACAAAATGCTAGGGAACTGCCAGGGCGCCTTACTGCCTAAGCGACGCCTTAGGCGTTGCTTATGGATGCCTTAAAAACGTGGAATTAGACAGAACTGTCAAATTTTATTAACTGACACTGGATGAAAATTATAGGAAATCACATTGTCATATTTACTTTTCATGCTGCTTAGGTAGATTATCGTAGTTGTCTACCAATGAATGCTCTATCATTTATTAGTCTGGGGAAAATGAATCAGCAGCTGGGTTTAGGTCCTGAACACACACTGTCCTCAAAATATGGCAAGCATGCGCACAAGACTGCAGTACGACATGATCATTCATTGATTCAAGGTGCTCCTGCTGTATGATTTTTTCAGTTGATCAATCAATTTCCAGAAAACATCCATTTGTCATTTACCATAATGAATTGCTCCCAGTCGCACAGTATGTATACAGTTATTGCGGTAATATTTATTTGAACTGTCTTCGTTTCATGTGTCACTATGTCTGTTAGTCTATCTACGACTTGACCGTAAAGGTTTGATTTACTCAATGCAGATTGCGTTCTCGAAGCAATTTCATGATTCTGTGGGTAAATCAGATTATGAAGCGCTTAGATCAGCGTTCGTCTTAGTAAGATATATTACTTAGTTTAACTCTTGCATATTTTTCTCATGCATTTCTCCGTACTGCTATTGAAGGCTTGAAGCTAATAGGGTATTTTCTCCCTTTCTTCTATTTAATTCAGATACACTACCCAAGGCACCCAAACTTTGATTTCCACAAGTACATGACCCGTGCCCTTGAGCATGACTTTAAGAGGGTTGTTGGTATCAGGTTGGTATTTTTGTAGAGAAGTTCTAACTTTGACTTGAATATATACATGCCTTTAATATTAGTAACTTTGATGCAGCTGGTACCTGTGGCTTTTTGTTATCCTTTTCCTTTTGCTGAATATAAATGGTAAGTCTGACTGAACCACTGAACACATGTCCCTATAGTTTGTTAGATATGCAGTGCAGCTATAATCCCCGGTAACTGTACTTATTTTTCCACTACATGTTGTCATTTAAACTCTTAACCAGTCGAATCTGACGAATACCCTTTACCAAGCACTTGACTGTTGATTAAATTTTAAGCATGCTTCATATCAGTTATCTTAAGGTTTCATATATCGGCATCAGTCCATTTGTTGATCAGGATATGCATTTGATAGGTTTCTGTTCTGCATGTTCTTTATAATTTTATTTGCCACCAAATGCAGGATGGCACACATACTTCTGGTTAGCTTTCTTGCCTCTATTTGTAAGTATTCCTCTGCTACACTGCCTCTGTTCATCCAAATATCCTATTCTGTACTGTACTTCTCAATTCTGATCACGCCTATGTTAGTTGTTATGCTTATTTAGTACTCTATCTGATTGAGGACAATTCTTAACAATGGGGTAAATTGCAGCTCCTGCTTGTTGTTGGTGCAAAGCTACAGCACATTATTACTCGATTAGCTCAAGATGCAGCAGCATCATTAGCAGATGAAACAAACCAAGTCCCGAATATAAAACCATCCAAGGAGCATTTCTGGTTTGGGAAACCTTCAATTGTCCTTCATTTGATCCATTTCATCCTATTCCAGAACGCCTTCGAGATTGGTTTTTTCTTCTGGGTCTTGGTATAATCCGTCTCACGCTTTCACCTAGGCATTTCAAATGTTTGTATCATTAGGTCCTGCTGGAGCTAACTAACAAAGTCATCACCTCCACAGGTAACATATGGGTTCGATTCCTGCATCATGGAGAAGAAGGCTTACGCCATTTCCAGGCTTGTTATTGGGTCAGTAAAATTCAGGGTTACCATTTGTTCTCATGGATATCTCGGGGTCCTCTCATACATGAGTTATAATTACTTTTTGCGTTTTAAGAATGATTTCTGTGCTCCTTTTTGCAGTCTGATCATCCAGGTGGTGTGCAGCTACATCACCCTGCCATTATACGCCATCGTCACCCACGTAAACTCCCTGAAATATCCGGCCCCCCTGCTTCCACAGTTTAAAAAATCAGATTTTTTTGAGTAACTTTAAAATATCAGATATATGACACACTGATTCTGTTGGGCCAGATGGGCGGAGACATCAAGCTGCAAGCGCTAGGGTCGGGCCTCCATGAGTCCGTCGCGAAGTGGGCCACGGGTGCCCGAAGCCGGAAGAAGGGCAGCTCGGAGACGAGCCTCCGGAACTCGCTCACCTTGAAGAATACTGGCGCCACCAATCCCGTCACCGGCAGCAACGAGATCACCGTGGCACGGGCGCCCAACGAGCGCTTCGGCAGCTCGCGCAACATGCTGACGCCGGAGGCAGTTCCCGACCTGGACGAAATCGTGTCTGTCGTGGACGTCGACAGCCGGAGGTGAGCAGCCAGGCCAGACGCCTCGCCGGCATGCCCTGCCGGTGCCAGCCAAGGCAGGGGAAAGACGGCACGCCGAGATGCTGCTTGTGTCCGCCGGGGCTCTGTGCATCTGGGCCGGGAGGGAGGAGGTACCGCCTGGTTGCGCAGGCAGGCGCGCTCGTCTCGTTCACGCTGACGGACACTACGCACTGCAATGTCACGGCTTCCCTGTAAACGGTACGAGCGGACAGGATGCGTCTCCGGCCGGCTGTCGCGACATGTCATGTGAGAACATGCTACAAAGGTCGTTGGCCTCCCTCGTCGTTTCTGCGTGATCGCTCCGTCGCTAGCGCTCGAAGCAGATGCTGCTCATGAGTCATGAGTGAGTGAATGATTTACAGACAAAACCGTTTTCTTTTGTCCTGATCAGACACTCACGTCGTCCGTGCGGCACAGCAGCCCAGCCCTTCCGCCTTTCCCACGAATGACTGACTACGCTATTCTTCTATCGCGTAGCTCCTCGCATGCATGCATGCACCTGCAGAGCAAAGTAGCAGCCGATGGACGTACGGCGCGTTCTCTCGATACGTCCGTCCATCGACCGTGTTTGGACAGGGCCGGGCCGAGGTGCCTTCACGTTGCCGGCCGGCGCTGTGGGACCGACAACCTACGCCGTCGACCGCCGTGACGGACACAGGTGCACTGTACCGGCGACGCGGGACAGTTCGAAACTACTCGTGGTAGTAGAGCCGTCGCCCAAGTCCGCATGCATGGGCCGCGAGCCCCGGTACGCGCGCGCGACGCACAATCCGGCCCGCCCGTGGTTTCAGCGAAATAGTGAGCGTTATTATTTACGCACGCACGTTGCAAATTCTCTTGCCAATTATTGCCGACTCGACGTCGCGCCGGCGTTGGCGTGCGCGCGCAGACAAGGCATCTCGTCTCGAGCAAGCACGCACGTCGGCTGCGCCTGCCGGCCTGCGCATGCATCGATCATGTCAGGGACATGCACTGATGCATATGCGTTTTCGCAAAAAAGAAAAAGAAAAAGAAAGGACATGCATATGCGTACGTACGTGCAGAGCCAGTGACAGGCCTCGCCAATGGAGTGAAGCTTCATGCATGGTTCGTGGCTACTGCCTAGCTAGCCACCTGGTTAATGATGCCGTGCCGTGGATAGACGTGCGTGTTCCAAGAATATTCTACACGTCTTTTTTCGCGTACTCTCTCTCTCTCTCTCTCTCTCTCTCTCTCTCTCTCTCTCTCAAAATGATTTGGACAAGATTGTGTCGTGATATATAGATGGAAGGGGACTGTACCGTGGTAAGCGCGTGGCATGCATGGGTCGTGTACCGTGGTGGCGCGTCAGAGACGCACGCACATGTTCGCAACGCATATCCTTTTCCCTGGCATCTGTAAAGCCTGCATGCATCTTTTTACTCGATCCTTATAGCTCTCGTGTACATCCTAGCTACTACACGTACACGCGACCTTTCTCATCACAGGCATAGCAAAGTACGCGTCCGAGGCCGCATGCAAAAGCCTAGCTATAACACAAGGGTGTCCCCGAGATCCATAGGTGGCATATATTGTCATCGAGATTTGTTCACTGCGTGCCGTCCGGTAGTGCAAGAGAAAGACGACTCAGATATACCAAAGTTAGTTCAAAGCTCAAGCTGCGACACTTATTATGGATCTGAGGGAGTATGATTTAAAAATACTTTCGTATGGATGTTTTTCGTAAGTGAGAAAAGCCTAGTAGAACGACGCACAACCTTGTGGATCGACGCACAACCTTGTGGAGTATATGCTTCACTTTGGGCTCTATACTCCGATCTGCGTGTGTGAGGCTGTGAGCAGCATATATTTTTTTCTGTCGTTTTTCCATCCATGACACGAGAGGCCACCGGTCGGCCTGGCATGGTAGTGGCTGCATATATATAGCTGCAGGGGCTATATGTGATCTTTTGTGCGAGGGAATGATGCAAAGCATAGCACTCATAGGAGTGCAAGGGATAACCTGACTGTCAAGGAGACATGGGTCGATGCTGCATGGTGTGGCATGGCGTGAGCAGGCCGGAAGATGGGCTCCTCCTTTGCGTGGGTATCTTTCTTCCTGCCTGTCCTTCGGATCCAGAATCGATCTGTGGGCCTAGCTCTGCCTGTGGGCCCCCGACATCTCAAGCTCCATCGGTTGCAAGCAATCGTCTCAATGAGTACCGTGGCTTACCTTGTCTCCAAAAATATACTAGTAACTGGTCACATTCACATTCACCGTTGCAACTAAAGATGATTATATTTCTCAAAAAAAAAACTAAAGATGATTATAAGCACATTTTTTTTAAAAAGGAGCGCGGTTTTGCTAATCCTAAGTTGCCCGAGGTTTCTTATGTCTAAGTTCATATCTGAAAAGTGCAACTTGGTGAAGAAGTGCAAATTGCACTTTTTACTAAATCGAACTTCTTTTCTCAGAAGCGACTTGCAAACAAGAAACTTCTTTTTGGCTAATCCTATGACTCAACTGAACATGTCGAC